AAGGAAGTACGGGTCCAGGTAGCAGAGCTATGACCTAACTTATATTCCACTACCTCATATTCTTTCTGGGGGGAGGCAGATTCAAAAGTCAGATCCCTTACAAACAGGGATCCTGGAGTTTTAACAGTTAAATTGGAGAAAGCTGATGTCAAAACTGGGACTTCCTGAAGGACCAAAGTTCTGAGGAAGAACCTGTATTCCCTGGCTACGGGTTTAATACCTACCCTTTCTCCTGTTTAAATCTGAGAAAAGTGTTATGTGGATTCAGCTCTTTCACTGTCACAATTACATTTACATATGCTGCTGTTTCATAGCTTATTCTCCAGGTAATATGATTTAACATTTGTAAATCAAAAAAGAAATATAAAACATATTAGGAAATATACTCACCTCTATCCCCATTATTTCCTTTGGTGTCTTCAATTGAATCTAAACAATCAATAAGGACTTCTCCAGGTCTTGTTTTCATTTGTCTAAAATAAATATCAAGACTTTAATAGCTACAACTATATCCACTTACAGTCTAGTTAGGGAGAGAAGAGACATTTGCATATAAAACAGCCAACAGTAATAGATGATACAGTACCAAATGTTCATGCATCTGAAAATAAGATCTTGAGAACTTCAAGAATCCTAGTGGAACCTGAAGTGACCAGGGACATATAGAGAAGTTAAAATTAGGAGAGGTAGGATTTGGAGAAATAAGAGAGAGGGAGGAAAGTCCATGCTTAAAGACCAGAAAAAAGAAATGATAAGCAAATGTGGGAAGATGGTCCTGGCTAGGGAAGAAAAGCGATGTTAAGAGGTAGTGAGAAATATATGCCACTACCTCTGAAAGCCAGTTGGACAGGTATGGGCCTTGTCCCGTGGACAGTGGAGAACCCTCAGAGCTTCTGAGTAGAAGGAAGGAGGTTGGGCAGTTATGGAAGGAAGAAATTAAAGCAAAAGCATTGTCAGGACTTGGTAAACAATTAGATACAAGGAGTAAAACAAAATAAAGAGTGAAGAAGAGTTTGTGGTCTTATAGAATGCATTCCAAACAAACGAAACCCCCAAACAAACAAAAACCTAGTACAATATGTGGTAGAGCTTTTAAAGACATTCTCCATAGAGCTGACCCATTACTTATTGAAAATACAGAGATAATCATAATACACCTTCCCTGCTTAAGAGTCTCCCATGTCATCCCACTACCTAGAAAATGAAGTGCAGGTACGCCTGGGTGGCTCAGCAATTGAGCATCTGCCTTCAGTCCAGGGCATGATCCTGGAGTCCCCGGATCGAGTCCCACATCGGGCTCCCTGCATGAAGCCTGCCTCTCTTTCTGTGTCTCTCATGAATGAATGAATAAAATCTTATATATTTATTTATTTTTTAAAAGATTTTATTCATTCATTCATGAGAGACAGAGAGAGAGGGAGGCAGAAGGAGAAGCAGGCGCCATGACCGGGCCGGATGCAGGACTCCATCTCGGGACCCCAGGACCACACCCTGGGTGGAAGGCAGGGGCTAAACCGCTGAGCCACCCAGGGATCCCCATAAAATCTTGAAAAAAATAAATAAATAAAATGAAGTGCAGAATCCTCAGCCAAAGATTTTATAGTTTGGCTGCTCTACCTTTTTTTTTTTTTTTTTAAGATTTTATTTATTTATTTGAGAGAGAGCTAGCAGGAGCAGGGTCAGTGGGGAGGAGGGACAGATTCCCCACTGAGCAGGAAGCCTATGGCGGGGCTGGATCCCAAGACCCTGAGATCATGACTTGAGATGAAGGCGGACACAGCCTACTGAGCCACCCAGGCATCCCCGTTTAAACTAGTTTTTAAAATTGTTTTCCTTGTGGTACAATATATAAAATAAAAGTTGCTATTTTAACCATCTTAAAGTATACAATTCAGTGGTACTAATTACATCGGTAATATTGTTGCTCTACCTGTTTGTTCCTCCATCCTCTACCTGCCAACCCTCCCTTCTAGCCAATGACATTTATACTTCCAAGACTCGGCTCCTAATGTTGTTGTTGTTTTTCTGGAATACTCTCCTGACAAGGCCCTGCCCAATTATCAGGGTTGAACTCAAATATTATTTCTTCTTTAAGGCCTTCCCCAGGCAGAATGAACTATTCTGTTTCTATAATACCCTAGCTTTCTGTTCATTTTTTTTGGGATGGTATTTACCACATTTTAAAAATAGCTGTCTATATATATCTCCTGCACTAAAATGTGGGGGTGTGTGTGGTGGAGAGGGGCGGGTGGGTAACAACAATCATTTTTTGTATCTCTAGGTATCAGCACAGTAACTAGCATATAGTAAGCCCTTGATAAATGTTCAATAAAATGGAAATGTTCATGAAATGGGGCTTTGCTTGGATTACGAACCCTCCAAGAATAATAGAAAAAGTCCTAGGATGTGTGCAATATGTAAGCATCGTGTATAATTTTATAAATTCCCTTCTCTCACAACTTCTTAAAGGGTCTAAGACCATGTTAGTATTAGATCATCTAGCCACAACTAAGCCTGATAAATTATTTCATTTTCTAAGATTTGGGTTATTATAAGGAATCATAAGAAGCGGGCAAAAAGCTTTATACCATTAACCTGAGAACCTTAGCTTCACTGTTTTCCAACAGTTAATATCTCAACGGGGGCGGCCTGGGTGGCGCAGCGGTTTAGCGCCGCCTTCAGCCCAGGGTGTGATCCTGGAGACCCCGGAATGAGTCCCGCCTCCGGCTCCCTGCATGGAGCCTGCTTCTCCCTCTGTCTGTGTCTCCCTCAAGAATGAATGAATGAATGAATAAATCTCAGTGGGCGGGAACCCCCTGGTCTTTGAGTAGGGCTATTTTAAGTAGTCTCCCTTTAAAGCATGAAATTAAGGAAAAAAACAAAACAAAAACAAAAAAACCATCCTAGGATTTCTGTTGAAGAGGCTTCAGAAGGTAGCTCCTTCTACCTACCGGTGACTGAAATGAATAACGGGATGGAAGCTTATCGTGGAAATGAAGTTTGTGGTGAGGAAATTTGGAAAACGCTTATTCCCACCTCCCTAGTTTTACAGACAAAGCGGCTCAAGCTTAAGAATGGCTAGGCACTCTTACACTGTTGGTAGGAATGTGAACTGGTGCAGCCACTCTGGAAAACTGTGTGGAGGTTCCTCAAAGAGTTAAAAATAGACCTGCCCTATGACCCAGCAATTGCACTGTTAGGGATTTACCCCAAAGATTCAGATGCAATGAAACGCCGGGACACCTGCACCCCGATGTTTCTTAGCAGCCATGTCGACAATAACCAAACTGTGGAAGGAGCCTTGGGGTCCACCGAAAGATGAATGGATAAAGAAGATGTGGTTTATGTATACAATGGAATATTCCTCAGCCATTAGAAACGACAAATACCCACCATTTGCTTCAACGTGGATGGAACTGGAGGGTATTATGCTGAGTGAAGTAAGTCAATCGGAGAAGGACAAACAGTGTGTGTTCTCATTCATTTGGGGAATATGAATAATAGTGAAAGGGAATATAAGGGAAGGGAGAAGAAATGTGTGGGAAATATCAGAAAGGGAGACAGAACATAAAGACTCCTAACTCTGGGAAACGAACTAGGGGTGGTGGAGGGGGAAGAGGGCGGGGGGTGGGGGTGAATGGGTGACGGGCACTGAGGGGGACACTTGACGGGATGAGCACTGGGTGTTATTCTGTATGTTAGTAAATTGAACACCAATAAAAATTAATTTATTAAAAAAAATAAAAAAATATTGAATCATTATGGTAAACACCTGAAACTAATAAAATCTTATATTCCAATTATACCTTAATACCAAAAAATTCAGGCAATTAATAGAACACTTAAATCATAATAGTTGAATTCAAATTTAGTCCCTAAAGAATATAGTCTCCTTAATCTGTTTTTCTATGAAATAAATTAATTCAATCTAAACTACTTGATGATCATTATTTTTGTTACTTATTGCAAACTATAAACTTTATGTGCAAGATTGCATACTGATGTAAGTACCCTTTATTATAGGTCTATATCTATCTATAAACATTAATGAAAACAATACTCTCCCCATCAGATACAATAATTTCTTTCCATTTTATAAAGACTTCTAACCTCTCTCAATAACTAATCACATTTCAAACAATGGACCTGAAAAAATGTATTAGAGGCACATTTGATCCCTGGGTGGCGCAGCGGTTTAGCGCCTGCCTTTGGCCCAGGGCGCGATCCTGGAGACCCAGGATCGAATCCCACGTCGGGCTCCCGGTGCATGGAGCCTGCTTCTCCCTCTGCCTGTGTCTCTGCCTCTCTCTCTCTCTGTGACTATCATAAAATAAAAATAAAATTAAAAAAATAAAGAGTAAATTACTCTTTAAAAAAAAAAAACAAATAAACTATAAAACCTTGAGAAAAAAAAAAAAAGAATGGCGAGGCCTGTGTGTGCGTGCGTGTGTGTGTGTGTGTGTGTGTGTGTGTGTGTGTGTAGTGGTTTAGCGCCGCCTTCGGCCCAGGGCATGAGTGACCCTGGAGACTCAGGATCGAGTCCCGGGTCGGGCTCCCTGTGTGGAGCCTGCTTCTCCCTCTGCCTGTGTCTCTGCATCTCTCTCTGTCTCTCATGAATTAATAAATAAAACCTTAAAAAAAAAAAAAAAGGGAATGGCGAAGCCTGAGGGCCCACGTGTACGTCGCTCTTCAGAACCGGGGTGCGGAGGCCCCTCCGAGCGCTCCTCCGCCCCGGGAGCTGGCGCCCCCAGCCCTACGAGATGGCCCCGAGCTCAGGGCCTCAGCCTCCCGACAGGCGCCTGGCCGGGCTCGCAGCGACCCAGGGCGCCCCCTCAGCGGCCGGGCCCCCCGCCGAGCCGACAGCCACCTCCTCCCGCTCTCGCGAGCGCCGTGAGCTCCTCCCGTAACCGCGCTGCGGCGCCCCCTGCAGGCCCCGGGAGCGACTCACTGCGAGGAGACGTCGAACCGGACGTCCCGGTCCTCCCAAAGCGCGTCCAACACCGACATGACGACCGAGGCCCGACGCCGGCCGTGACCGCCGCGGCGGAGGCCGAGGGGCGTCTCACCGGCTCCCAGGCAACGGGCCGCCTCTGTCGCGACGTCTACGGCGGGCGCCGAGATCCAAGCTTCCTGAGGTACGGCGCGCGCTTTCCCGGGCCCTGTCGCGTCCCTAAGCGGATTTGAGGCTCCGGGAAGCCCAGCTGGCCCCGGCCCAGCGGCGTGCTTGGGCGCTGAGTGACTTTCCCAGCCTTCAAGCACACATCCTTAAGCCCTTCCACCCTCTTCCCCCATTTTGCTATAGTCAAGAAATTTAGACTTAAACTCTTAATTCTTAACCCCCCACTCCCCCCAATGCCATCAGGTCCTGCCCATCTCCTGCCTTCATTCCTGCGACGCAGGGTCCCCTTTCCCTGCCTGCAACTCTTTCCCCAGATCTCTGCGTGGCCTGACCTCTGTGGCAACTCCGATGTCAACCGAGGCGGCCCCGGATCTTGCGGTCACCGTACCCTGAGCACCCCCAGGACAGGGCCCGATACTCCAGCTCGCTTTCCACAGGAGCTGGCACTCAGAAACTTTTCGAACGAATTAAAACGCCTTCCTTCCCTCACCTTATTATTATTTTTTTGAAGATTGTTATTTATTTATTCATGAGAGACACGCAGAGAGAGAGAGGGGCGGAGAAGCAGGCTCCCCACGGGAACCCATGCAGGACTCGATCCCAGGACCCCAGGGTCAGGACCTGAGCCAAAGGCTGATGCTCAACCACAGAGCCACCCAGGTGCCCCCCTTCCCTCAATTTATGACAGTTCTTTAAAGTTTGATCTAGGGATCCCTGGAGTTCCTTAGGATCCTTTCCGGACGCCTACAGCGTCAAAATATGTGCACAAGAGCATGAAGACATTCTTTGCCTTCATAACTTATTTATTCGTTGGATGTACAGTGGCGTTTCCCAGAGGCCATATGATGTGTAATTGTATGTGGAAGCAGGTATGAGAATCTAGCTGTCTTCCATTAAGCCAGACACGAAAAAGATCTGCAACACTGTAAAACAATGGTACTCTTCCCGCATTTTGGGGGGGGGGGGGGGACAATATCATTTTAAAAAATGTTATGTATGTTAACGTATAATGAGTTTTTTACTTTTTAATGAATCAATAAATGAAGTTTTATTTTTTAAAATTTATTTATTCATGAGAAATACAGAGAGAGAGAGAGAGAGAGAGAGAGAGAGAGAGAGAGAGAGAGAGAGAGGCACAGACACAGAGGGAGAAGCAGGCTCCATGCAGAGAGCCCTACACAGGACTCTATCCTGAGTCTCCAGGGTCAGGCCCTGGGCTGAAGGCAGCGCTAAACCGCCAAGCCACCCGGGCTGCCCCAAATGAAGTTTTAAATGTCTTATCAAACATCAATAGATAGGGGATCCCTGGATGGCTCAGTGGTTTAGTGCCTGCCTTTGCCCCGAGGCGTGATCCTGGAGGCCCGGGATCGAGTCCCACGTCGGGCTCCCTGCATAGAGCCTGCTTCTCCCTCTGCCTGTGTCTCTGCCCCTCTCTCTCTCTCTCTGTGCCTCTCATGAATAAATAAATAAAATCTTAAAAAAAAACAACAGATAGAAATGCTATAAACAAAAGATCTTTCAGGTCCTCAATAATGTTTTTAAGGGTATAAAGGAGTCCTGAAATCAAAGGTTTGATAACTACAGCTTTAAACTATCTAGAGCTCCTCTGTGTTAGGCTCTGTGCCAAATCCTGGAAATGTGAAAGACCATAGGAATTTTTCTCAGGTTGAAGAAAATAATGGAGACAAAGGAACATATAAGGCAGCCCCCCAATGAATCATGCCCTTGTATAATCCTCCCTCCTGAGGTGTGGACAGAACCTGTGACTTGCTCCTAGCCAACAGAATATGGCAAAGGTGATGGGATGTACAAGCGATGGGGTATCATTCCCACGATTATTTTGTTATGTAAGACTTGATCTTAGCTGCCTGGAGCAGGACTCTCCTGCTTGCCTTGAAGAAGCCAGCTGCTATGATACAGCCTTTAGGGCCAGCAACCTCAGTTATATAAGTGCAAGGAATGAGAATTTGTCAACGACCTAAATGAGCGTGGAAGCAGATCTTACTGCAGTAGAACTGCTGATAAGCTCTTTGCTCCAGGAAATATCTGGATTGCAGCCTGGCATGACCATAAGCAGAAAACCTAGATAAGCCATGCTTGCAGTTCTGATCTACAGAGACAGGGAGACAATAAATGTCTGTTATTTTAAGCTGCTGAGTTGGTGGTCATTTGTTATATGCGACAACAGAGTACTAACACGGGTTGTAGAATCAGAGATGGTGCTACTCTAACAAATCGCAGGAGCTAGGACCCAGCTAAATTCTGTTAGGAAGCAGGCTGATCAAATTCTTCACCTGCAAGTATGTGCTGCCTTTCATGAAAAGACAAGGATGGAAGTTTTAAACCGAAATATCTCTGAACTGTTCTTCTATACTGGGCCCACCATTGTATGATGGGAGTGTTGGGGACAGACAAGTGGTCTTTTTGGTTTCCCAGGTCTTCCAGGAGGAGTTGTGCTTCAGGGGAGTGTGCTTAGTGGGTTAGACCCAGGAGCATTATTTGCAGCAGGTATAGAGGATTTAGATGATGAGATCATGGATTTTGAGCAGATGGTGTAATAGGATGAGAAGGAACCTGGGGAGGGAGCTTATTTTTTTTCCTTTGGGAGGGGCATGGGTGGTTGTGTGCCAGAGGACAGGCTGTGGGAGGCAGAATTCCGAACGGCCCTTAAGATTCCTGTCCTCCTTATATGCATGCTGTATCTAATCCCCTTCCCTGGAGCATGGAACAGCCTATGAATATAATAGGATATCAGCCCTGTCATCAGATTCTGTTACTTGGGAAAGATGAGATTTTGCAGATATGATTAATGTCCTTTGAATTTATCCAAGAGGGAGGCTATCTGTCGTGAGCCTGGGCTTATCAGGTGAAACCTTAAAGGAGATTTTTCTACTGGATTTGTTGAAATAGCGGCCAAGCTGTGTGAAAACCTTGGAGCTAGGAGCACAGGACAGCCTCTAGGAGCTCGGAGAACCAGCAAGAAAACAAACTCCAGCCATCTAACCATGAGGAACTGAATTCTGCTAACTGAAATGAGCCTGGAATGGAACCCCAAGCCTCAGATGAGATCACGTCCTGCTGACCCCTTGATTTCAGGTGAGACCCTAAGCAATGACCCAGCCCAGACTCCTGACCTGCAGAAACTGTGAGACAATAAATTTGTGTTGTTTTAAATTTCTAATATTGTGTCAATTTATTGTGCATCAATAATTATTTCAAATCACAGAAACCTTTTATAATGAAGACTGAAATGAAGACCTACTTTTCAATGTGCTTATAGCTGGAACTTCATATATTTTGTTTTCCAGACCTTCTTTTTCTCCTGCTTTTGTAGAGAAAGTTTTGTGTGCATGTGTGTGTGTTTACTTTTTAAATAAATTTTTTCTGAAGTATAATTTACATACAAAAAATACATCTATTTTATTTAGGTGTGCTCTTCAGTGAATTTTGACAAGTGTATGCATCCATGTAACCACTCCCATAATGAAGCTACAGAACATTTCTCTCACTCTGAAAAGTTTCCTTGTGCCCCTTTGCAGTCAACTCCAGATCTGGGAAATCACTTGTTTGCTTTCTATTACTGTAGATTGTTTTTCTTTGTCATTATTTTATTATGTAAAATAATTATGTAAAATTTGCCATACTGTAAACTAATTTTGAATGTTCTAGAATTTTATATAAATGGTATAATAAATCACACATATATACTATGTAAGACTGGTATATGTATTCTTTTGTATCTGGCATCTTTTATTTGGCATAATTTTTTTTCTTTTTTGTTTTTATTTAAACTCCAGTTGGTTAACATGCAATGTAATATAGTTTTAGATATAGAATTTAGTGGTTCATCACTTACATACAACACCCAGTATTTGGCATAATGTTTTGAGGTTCATCCATTTTTTAAAAAGATTGATTTATTTATTTGAGGGGGAGAGGGGCAAGAGAATAAGGGGAGAGAGAATCTTAAGCAGACTCTGTGCTGAGCATGGAGCCTGATGTTGGGCTCAGTCTCACTGCCCTGAGATCATGACCTGAGCCAAAACCAAGATTTGGATGCTTAACGGACTGAGACACCCAGGCATCCTGAGATTCATCCATATTATTATATGTATCAATAGTTCATTCTTTTCTGTTACTGTTTTATTGTGCATTTTTTAGATATGCTGTACTTCGTTTCACCTATTGGACACGTGGGTCATTTCAGTTTTTGTCATTAATAAAATTGCCAAGAACATTAATGCACAAGTCTGCGTGGATGTAAGTTTTCATTTCTTTTGAATAAATATACCCAGGAGTGGAATTGCTGGGTAATATGATAGGTGTATGTTTAACTTTTTAAAAAGTTTTTAAAAAACTGCCAACTATTTTCCAAAACAGTTAAACCATTTACATTCCCACCAACAATGCATCTCTCTTACCTGTCAATCTGTTTTAGCCATTTTAGTGGGTATGTCATTATGGTTTTAACTTGTATTTATTTCTCTGATGATTAATGGTGTTGAGAATCTTTTCATGTGCTTCCCAACCACTTGTAAATATTTTTTATAAAGTGCCTGTTTATGTCACTTCACATTTTTTAGGAGGTTGTTTGTTTTCTTATAATTGAATTTTGTAGGAGTAAAGCCCTGTGTTACATATGTGTGTTGTGAATATTTTCTTTCGGTCTCTGGCTTGCCTTTTCTCTTTCTTTCTTTCTTTCTTTCTTTCTTTCTTTCTTTCTTTCTTTCTTTCTCCTTAACTTTATTTTTTAAATTTATTTTTTCCCTTTATTAAAATTTTATTTTATTTTAATTTTTTTATTTATTTATGATAGTCACAGAGAGAGAGAGGCAGAGACACAGGCAGAGGGAGAAGCAGGCTCCATGCACTGGGAGCCCGACGTGGGATTCGATCCTGGGTCTCCAGGATCGCGCCCTGGGCCAAAGGCAGGCGCCAAACCGCTGCGCCACCCAGGGATCCCCCCTTTATTAAAATTTTAAATTCAAATTGCCAACATATAGTATAACACCCAGTGCTCATCCCATCAAGTGCCCTCCTTAGTGGCCATCACCCAGTCACCCCATCCCCCCACTCACATTCCACAAGCCTTTGTTTCCCAGAATTAGGAGTCTCTCATGGTTTGTCTTCCTCTCTAAATTTTCCCCACTCAGTTCCCTTCCTTTCCCTTAAAGTCCCTTTCACTATTTCTTATATTCTGCATATGAATGAAACCATATGATGATTGTCCTCTGATTGCTGAGTAATATTCCATTATATATATATATATATATATATATGGAAGATGTGATATATATGTATATATATATATATATCTCACATCTTCCTTTTTTATTTTTTTAAAAGATTTTACTTATTTATTCATGAGAGACACACATAGAGAGAGGCAGAGACATAGGCAGAGAGAGAAGCAGGCCCCATGCAGGGAGCCCGAGGTGGGACTCCATCCTGGGACTCCAGGATCACACCCTGGGCTGAAGGCAGGCGCTCAACCGCTGAGCCACCCAGGCATCCCTATACCACATCTTCTTTATTCATTCATCTGTCGAAGGACATCATGGCTCCTTCCAAAGTTTGGGTATTAGGGACATTGCTGCTCTGAACATTGGGGTACAGGTCTCCCGGTGTTTCACTACATCTGTATCTTTGGGGTAAATACTCAGTAGTGCAATTGCTGGGTTGTAGGGTAGCTCTATTTTTAACTTCTTGAGGAATCTCCACACTGTTTTCCAGAGTGGCTGTAACAGCTTGCCTTCCCACCAACAGTGCAAGCATTTTCCTCTTTCTCCACATCCTCACCAACATTTGTTGTTTCCTGTCTTGTTAATTTTCACCATTCTTACCAGTCAGTGTAAGCAGATATCTCATTGTGGTTTTGATTTGTATTTCCCTGATGGCAAGTGATGTGGAACATTTTTTCATGTGCTTGTTGGCCATGTGTATGTCTTCTTTGAAGAAATGCCTGTTCATGTCTTCTGCCCATTTCATGATTGGATTGCTTGTTTCTTGGGTGTTGAGTTTGATAAGTTCTTTATAAATCTTGGCTACTAACCCTTTATCTGATATTTCACTTGTGAATGTCTTCTCCCATTCTGTAGGTTGTCTTTTAGTTTTGTTGATTGTTTCCTTTCTGCTGTGCAGAAACTTTTTATCTTGATGAAGTTCTGCTGTGCAGAAACTTTTTATCTTGATGAAGTCCCAATAGTTCACTTTTTGTTTTTGTTTCCCTTGCCTTCATAGATGTGTCTTGCAAGAAGTTGCTGCGCCCAAGTTCAAAAAGGTTGTTACCTGTGTTCTCCTCTAATATTTTGATGAGTTCTTGTCTCACATTTAGATGTTTCAACCATTTTGAGTTTTCTTTGTGTCTGGTGTAAGAGAATGGTCCAGTTTAATTCTTCTGCATGTGGCTGTCCAATTTTCCCAACACCATTTATGGAAGATACTGTCCTTTTTCCAGGGGATATTCTTTCCTGCAGTGTCAAAGATGAGTTGACCAGAGAGTTGTTGGTCCATTTCTGGGTTCTCTATTATGTTCCATTGATCTATGTGTCTGTTTTTGTACTAGACCCATAATGTCTTGATGATCACAGCTTTGTAATACAGCTTGAAGTCAGCACTGTTATGCCCCAGGCTTTGGCTTTTTTTTTCAAAATTCCTCTGGCTATCTGGTTCCATACACATCGTAAGATGATCTGTTCCAACTCTCTGAAGAAAGTCCATGGTATTTTGATAGGGATTGCATCGAACGTGTAAATTGCTCTGGGTTGCATAGATATTTTCACAATATTTATTTTTCTAATCCAAGAGCATGGAATGTTTTTCTGTCACTTTACATCTTCCTCTATTTCTTTCATAAGTGTTCTGTAGTTTTTAGAGTATAATTCTTTTACCTCTTTGCTTAGGTTTGTTCCTAGATATCTTATGGATTTGGGTGCAATTGTAAATGAGATTGATTCCTTAATGTCTCTTTCTTCAGTCTCATTGTTATGTGTAAAAATGCTACTGATTTCTGTGCATTGATTTTGTATCCTGCCACATTGCTGAAATGCTATAGGAGTTCTAGCAAACTTTGGGTGGAGTCTTTTGGGTTTTCTATATACAGTATCATATCATCTGTGAAGAGGGATAGTTTGACCTCTTCTTTGCCAATTTAAATGTCTTTTATTTCTTTTTGTTGTCTGATTGCTGAGGCTAGGACTTCTAGTACTATGTTGAATAACAATGGCGAGAGTGGACATCCCTGTTGTGTTCCTTACCTTGGGGGAAAGGCTCTCAGTTTTTCCCCATTGAGAATAATATTCACTGTGGGCTTTTCAAAATGACTTTTATGATATTGAGGAATTTTTCCTCTATCCCTACCCTTTGAAGAGTTTTAATCAGGAATGGATGCCGTATTTTGTCAAATGTTTTTTCTGCATCTATTGAGAGGATCATACAGTTTTTGTCTTTTCTTTTATTCATGTGATCTATCACATAGATTGTTTTATGAATGTTGAACCACCCTTGCCTCCTGGGGATAAATCCCAGTTGGTCGTGGTGAATAATCCTCTTAATGTACTGTTGTACTGTTGTATCCTATTGGTTAGTATCTTGGTGAGAATTTTTGCATCCATGTTCATCAGGGATATTGGTCTGTAATTCTCCTTTTTTTGGTGGGGTCTTTGTCTGGTTTTGGGATCAAGGTAATGCTGGCATCACAGAGTGAGTTTGGAAGTATTCCCTCCATTTCTATCCTTTGAAACAACTTTAGTAGAATAGGTAATATTTCTTTTTTAAATGTTTGGTAGAATTTCCCTGGGAAGCCATCTGGCCCTGGACTTTTGTGTCTTGGGAGGTTTTGGGTGACTGCTTAAATTTCCTCGCTGGTTATTGGCCTGTTCAGGTTTTCTACTTCTTTCTGTTCCAGTTTTGGTAATTTGTAGGTTTCCAGAAATGCATCCATTTCTTCCAGATTGCCTAATTTGTTGGCATGTAGCTGCTCATAATACATTTTTTAAATCATTTGTATTTCCTTGGTATTGGCTGTGATCTCTCCTCTTTTGTTCATGATTTTATTAATTTGAGTCTTTTCTCTTTTCTTTTTAATAAGACTGGCTAGGGGTTTATCTATATTAGTAATTCTTTCAAAGAACCAGCTCCTGGTTTCGTTGATCTGTTCCACAGTTCTTCTGGTCTCTATTTCATTGAGTTCTGCTCTAATCTTTGTTATCTCTCTGCTTCTGCTTGGCTTAGGTTTTATTTACTGTTCTATCTCCAGTTCCTTTAGGTGCAAGGTTAGCTTGTGTATTTTGAGTTTTGTCCAATTTTTTGAGGAGGCTTGTATTGCAGTGTATTTCCCTCTTAGGACTGCTTTTGCTGTATCCCAAAGATTTTGAACAGTTGTATTTTCATTTTCATTAGTTTCCATGACTCTTTTTGATTCTTCTCTAATTTCCTGGTTGATCCATTCATCTTTCAGTAGGATGCTCTTTAACCTCCAAGTATTTGAGTTTCTTTGTTTCAAAGCATTGTGGTCTGAAAATATGCAGGAGGCAATCCCAAATTTCCTCTTTGAGTTCTAGTTTCAAAGCATGGTGGTCTGAAAATACGCAGAGGACAATCCCAATCTTTAGGTATTGGTTGAGACCTGATTTGTGACCCAGTATGTGATCTATTCTGGAGAAAATTCCATGTGCACTTGAGAAGAATGTGTATTCAGTTGCATTAGGAT